GATACAATAAAGTTTTAAGTATAATTTTGGCCAAAATTATGTTAATTTTTGGCCGGAATTATGATATACTAATATAAGAAATTTTTTATATAGTCACATCTCTTTATAATCACCAAATATGGACTGTCCCAAATGTGTGACTATAAAGAGAGTTGACTGTAGTATAAAAATACATTTTTTATAATAAATCAGTCAATATTAATTTTAGAAATATGATTTCACTACCATTTAATTCCTTGCATCAAGACAAATCCAAAGATATAAATTTCATTAAAATCTGATCAGTAAATCTTTTAAAAATTGGGTTTGTAGGATAAGGATTTAAACCTTTATAATTTGTAATTCCGGCCGGAGTTAAATATAAACTTCGTAAATCTGTTCGGGATCTTAATTTTGCTCATATTCTGGTAATGGATGCAATGATGGCCAGAATTATATGATCGGCGTAAAAATTTCCTTTTTTGGAATACTTGTGAAACCAAATCCGCCCATTTTTTGCGGGAGGCAAAATTTCCTTTTTTGGAAATTTGTGTAACGTCACGTGATAATTGACCAATGAGATTATTTGGGATAAGGGATGGGATAAGGGATATGGGATATGGGTGGGATTGGGATTTGGGATTGGGATGGGATTTTGGCAAATGGGAGGGGATTTTGGCAAAAGGGATGGGATATGGGATGGGATGGGATAGGGGATTCTCCCATCCCATTTAATATGGGTGGCAAGTATACATATATCCCCTAGAAAAATTTCCCGATGTGGATCAAAGATATACCGATATATTTTCCCCAAAACAACAGTATCGGTACATAGAGATCCGACTGTATATATTTATATCTTTTGCTATTAAAACATAAACTAATAAATCTACCGTACCGCACTACACAAGATACCAGGTATAATACAAATACTTATGATTTAAAAATTATATGATACCCCTTGGGTATTTTGTGAGATACATGGTCAAGATTAGCCTAATTCTACCAGAATTAACATTTTTAAGCCGTATATTGTATCTGGGTCTTTTAACATGGGGATATTCTTAAAGAGAGACGGTATGTAAGCTCCTTTTATAAGCTAAGTCAATTAAAATTTTTATTAAAACACTTCTTCACCTTCATGAAGTTTTTCTAGTAAAAAAATATATATTTCAGTTAATCATAAATACTAAATAAAATAAAATAAAATTACACTAATAAATAAATTATAACAAAGATGAAATTTACTGAAAAGTGAGCAAACAGGGTGGAAAATATACCCTATAAAAGAATTGCAATATTCCGGACACTTTCAGCACACCAGGCCTGAGTCCTTCTGGAAATTCAAAATGTCTCGGCGTCCGGAATATTGCAATTTTCCAGACATTCTCCAGACACCTGGACATTTTCGGGCATTTTCGATGACAATTTCCGGAGAAAAAAAAAATATTTATATTTATTAATCTTATCATACACTCCAGTTAGTCATCTAGTAATATGTTTGGATAATCTAATATCCGTTTATACGACAAATTAACGGATCGACATTCTAAAATCAACGTTTCGTATATGCACAACATACAATTAAAAACGGAGAATCATTTCCGATAAATTATTTCCTTACAGAAAATCAAGTTGATTTATTATTACGGTAATGTCCCAAAGAAGGACTTAAATGTTACTTATTTAGGGATTATTCAAAATGAAATGGTGACTATCCAAAAACGGAAATAGTGGTGGTTTTTGTGAAACAGGTATATAAATAGTTCTCCGCTACGCTCCAGAAAATAAATTGTTACCAAAATATTTAGACACAAACAAAATAATTGGTTTGATCTACATACTTCTTTAGCCATATAGATTATTGTTTTGGAGCTAATTTGCGTTTTGATTAATCTACTGTACCTTTAAATATGCTGTAAGCATTCAATTATTATTTCCCGTAAACTACTTCAGATTCTAAATAGCAAATTGAAAATGAATGTGAAACTATTTCAGTAAATTTTTATAATTTGACCTCGATAGGAAATTGATTTTTTGAATTACCAAAAGAATCTTTCAAAATTAAATTCTTTTGCCTCACTGCATGAGTTGTCGTGTAACGAAGAAGAAAAGAAGAACATAGAATTCTATGCTTAATTAAAAATAATTGATAGATGTTGCTAATATAAATAATATTTCTTTACCCCCTGATACCGTAGATAAAGTATGAATTTATTGAAATATTATAAGTGTATCATACAAAATTGTGAGATTATCGATAAACAATCTAATTTTGATTCATTAACTCCTTTTTCTTTGAAAGAAAAAAAATTTGCCTAATTTGGCAATATTACAATGGTTTTTTTAATTGTAACAAAGCGCTAAAATGTGTTCAAAATTATTTTTAATTAATTGTTTTATTGCCATTTTCGGAGTACGTATTCCGTGGGATGTGTATGATTTTTTCAATAATTCGCCGTTCCATCGAGAAAAAAAAATAAAAAAAAATTTTATATAAATGAATTCCTTTTTACATGGTTAATTTTTTTTTTTTTGTTAAATAATACAATTACAAATAATAAATTAATAATTTTGGTTTTTTTTTGTTAACTAAATACAACTAGAGAAATTAGAATTAATAAATTATTATTTTTCTTTTCTTTCCTTTCCCATATTCTTGACCCGGATTTTCATGAATAAACTCCCCGTCTTTTGGTCCTGTTTCTTCATCTGACCTTTTTCGCTTATTATGATCAATATGTTCAAAAATTCTTTTTATCGACTTATGAGTATTTTGATCATTTAAAATACCGCTCTAAATAAACGATTGTTTCGTCAAAAATTAAATAGGTTTAATTTTTATTTTTATTTTTTAAAAAATAAAATGAAATAACTCACCCTGTAATCTTGTGTCTTATTCTTCCATCTATTGAAACACTGGTCCATTGAATAGGGATAGCCATTTACTTTCATCCACAAAGAAGCATCACGCCAGAGTCCTTCTTTTGCACAATTATGTTTATTCAGTTCTTTGATTTTATCTTTATTTTCTTCCAAATATAAAAATAGGCAACTGTCCGCTATATTATCCCAAGAACATCGCCCTGCGCTTCCTTCCTTAGACAATTTTCTTAATGTACTTTTACTCCATGACATTGGTTTTTGATTTTTATCAAACACAAGTGTCGTACTTTCATTCGAAGACGTTATTGGTTTTGGACTTTTACACACCCATGTCGAAAATGACGCTTGTTCTGGACTTTCGCAAATAGTTGTATCTTTGCTCGAAAACGACATTTGTTTTGGACTTTCGCAAATAGTTGTATCTAACGACATTTGTTTTGGACTTTCGCAAGCAATAGTTGTATTTAACGACATTTGTTTTGGACTTTCACAGATAGTTGTTGTGCTTTCGCTCCAAGATTGCTTTTGAGTTACACCTTCAGAAGATTCAGTTGATACTAATGAAGAAAGAGTATCAACATCATAATCATGACTTCTTGTTTCTTGCGAAAGGTTATTGAGAAATCCTAATCACAAAGAAAGAGATTATTCAACATATGTTTAATAGGCAGCATAATAATCTATGTAGAATAACTTTTCGAAGATAGCAATAAAAGATTATTGGAAAAAAATATAATAATAACCTTGATTGTTACGATAGACCATTGTTTGTGATATTGAAGGGATAAAAATGATTCCTGTTATAATTAAAAAAGCAACGACATTTAACACTTATCAATGTTATTAGTAAAAGATTAATGGTAAATTGTTATATTTATTACCTTTATTAGAATTATTATGTCGATATTCTAATCGTTGTGAAGGGATATCTATGATCAAATCTAATTATAATTTTAAGAGATTATAACGTTAGTAATATTAATGATATCGCAATACTAAAAGCATTATTGAAAACTCTGAGGAGCAGAATCTTAACCTTGTTTAGTACGTTGATCGTTAACGTTATAGAAAAAAGTGTAGTGAATTTCTTGTGGATTAATATTGATGAACCCTATTATAATTAAAAGGGAGATAATATTTAGTTTACATCAATTCATAACAAAAAGATTGGCACGTTAGTCAGCAAAATACAAAATGAAAGTTGAGGAAAATAACTTTATAGTGACCTTTATTAATATCATATTCTGGGTGGACAGTGTAATCAATTCTCTGTTCTATAGAGATAATTATCCGTACTAATTACGATTAAAAAAAAAAAAATTTAGAATTGTCAGCTGCAGTGAGGATTAATACCAAGGCTGAAATAATTATTATAATACCATTGTCACTATTGTCACCACAAGGTTTAGGTGCTATATAGATATTTCCTAATTATAATTAAAGATAATTAATATTCAACAAAACGGCTCTCGACATTATTTAAATTATTCAATTTTTTTTTTTTTTTTTTTTTTGTAATTAGGTTTGAAGATTAATTGTTGTAACTACCTTTATCTATGACAGTAGTATAGAGTAACTCTCTCTTTTCGGTCAACATATATGATAGTGAATAGATAGCTATCAATCCTGTTATAGCGATAAGGCCTACTATTTAAAAAAAAAAAACAAATGAATCAATTTACATAGTTAAATGAAAGATTCTTCGTAGTTGCTTCAACTTTTTTTGAAAGCGGTACCTTCTCCAGGATTATTATCGAACGAATAACTTAGTCTATACTTCTCGCTCAATGTAGTTGTGGATGCTAATTGTGAAGAGGCGTCGTTTAGTCCTAAAAAATAAATATTCGTTCAACTCATTTAAAGGTGGAATAGAAGATTGATAATGAAGTTAAGAAAATAATAGTTATATTAACCTTGGCTTAAATTGTATGCATCACTCTTAATTAAAGAAAACCAGGAAAGTGTTTCTTTAATTGCGGTCAATAATGGCGGTGAAGATAAGATATCTGTTGAAGTTTTATTATTTTCGCGCATAGATGAGTAAAGATTATTATCACAATTATTAGTGAAATTGTCTGGATACATGTTTATTATAATCTGTTAGGGGCCTAATAAAACAACATGTTAATTTATATGTATATCACTCAGTTATAGGTGTAACATATATTAATCCAGATAAATTACAAAACGGCTAGATTGATTATTTGTTTAACGCGAAAAACAATTTTGGGAGGGCAATAATGCTATTTTAAACATATTTATTATGTAGTTTGGTTTGAAAATAAGGGGAAAGGTTACTTCATGTAGTACATATAATTTTTTTTAGTAGTTTGGATTAAAAAAATTGTCATTTTCATTCATTGTGAAATATTTTTAGGATAAGTAATTTACTACAATAAATAATTCTTTTTACCAATATGGATATTAAAAATTAAATATTTCGCAAAATTTTAAAAATTGATCTATTTGTTTATTAGAAAACGTGAAATTTTTAAAACATTTTTTTTTCGTGTAAAAATCGGATCTCGGTTATAATACACTACGTTCAATCGACCCATTAAAAAGCTTCTTATATTCCATAAATTTAGCATTTTTCCTATATAATTTCAAATTAAATAAGGACATGCCAATAAGAACTAAATGATCGGAATAATCGAATAAAGTTTTTTATAGGGTGGTTACGTCCAAATTCGTTTCGGATTGGATAGATTGAATTTGGGGTCATAAATCACAATCTTCATTTTAGGGTATTACCGGCTCAGTCCGAATTCAAAATTTACAAATGTAGATTGGATTAGAATTTGTCCCGTGTTTAGATTTATTATAATGCATATATAATGCGACGCGTAATACCTTTATATGAATGATGAAATGTTAAATGGAGTATACATTACATGCATTGCATGTGAAGATCTACATTAATCCAATTCTAAAAAAAGAAGTATTTCAAACTTGTATGTTAATTTATTTATTTATTTTTTTTTTTGTACTTAAAAAAACGCGAATATAAAATTTAAACAATAAAAATTGTAACAATCGATTTTTTATTATTTTTTTTTTTTTTTGTTTGTTGATGTTGCGTTACCTTTTATGGTTATAGGTCTTTCCCTTTTAATTTTTGTACGTCAACAAACCCTTATTGTGGGAATTATTTGGTAATCGTGGTAAAATGTAAGAGAAAAAGAAAGTCTATTTTTACGATAGTGTACATTAGATGTTGTACTCCCTGTAAAAAAAATTTATCCGTAATTTCTGTAAAAACGCCGTGAATATAGCAACATTTGTGGAAAAATAACTAGAAATCGGATAATTTCCATGTTTTGAGACTATAAATTCCGTGTATAAAATACGGAATAATTTTTTTATGGGGTTGATTAACTTTTTTTTTTAAAAAAAAAAAATTTAACTTTATTAATATTGTAAAGGAATACTCTAAGGTATACAGGTCCTTTACAATGTAGACATCAGGATATCCGTTAAATAAAGTACCTATCCAAATTAAACAAATTACCAAACGAATGAACGCAATACCTACCACAGTACCTTACCAAATATTACCTATTGTATCCCTAACTATATTCCTACAAAAAGAAAAGCATTTAACCATGATCATAGGAATCTAGTGACGAATCTTTTATGAGCTCAATCTCTATGCAGTGTTATGTTACGTTAATCAATACAAATACAATACCGTAGTCAATGCATATTTTTACTGCATTAGTATATCTATTGCAGAGGCGGACAATTCAGGACGATGATGGATTGATGATTTTCTGTGTTCACGGAAATCACAGAATAAGGTTATAAAAATGATATTAATTTTCGCCTGATTTAGGATATGCAATCATCATAATGCTGGCTGGCAGACATTTAGTTTGGCCAAAATTTGAGTATCGTAATGTTGGCCGACATTGCATAATTCTGGCCAAATCACAGGATTTCACATAATTAACTGCTCATTGGTCAGTTCGAGTTGCACGAATTTGGGATACAGTCTTAAGGAAGCTTGCTTTTCAAACAAACATTCTTGATATCCTTTTAAAAAGTTGAAATGAAAATATAATTTTAAAAGCAGAAATACAGTATATGGAAAATTAATTTTTCAATAAAAAATTTTTATTTATATAAAAGTTTATCACATAATCCATTTTAGTATAACTCAGCAAAGAGATATCCTCGTAATACAAATGTTAATAAATTTTCATAAGAAAACAATATCATTAGAAAAAAAGCTACCATTTTTTATTTGTTCGATTGTCCAATAATTCCAATAATTCTCCTTAATAATTACAAATATCTTAATTTCATTTAAAGGTTAAATTACATTTAATGCCGGAATAGTCGTTAATATTATTATTCACCAATAATAAAAATGAAATATTAATTTTATATTAAATATTTGTTTTGAATATAAGTTAAAAAGTTAAATTAATATTAAAAAGTATAGCGAGTTTATTAATAATGTATACAGAAAGTTCAAATGTATTACAAAATGGAAAAGCAGGAGCCGAGCATGAGGTTGATCATTCATTATTCTTATACCTAATTTAGTTCGTTTCGTTAGAAAAATATGTCGTAACTTTTTTAGTCTGTTTGTTTTATTTCCATTAATGATACGGGTAATATGGAACGTGAATTACAATCAATTTTGGCAATAATACAATTAACATATTTGACTTCGAAAAAAAAAAAATTATTATATATATTCCTCCTACACCTTCTTGTTTTTATTAAAATAAATACAAATTTTTTTATTTTTTTCAATTAATAATTATTACACAATTTTAATATACACGTATATTCACGTTCAACATGAATGATACGAGTTGAGTTGACTTTTTTATATTTTATAGTGTTCTGCTCCTCTTAGGAGACTTTCTGTTCGAGTCGTCAGTCATTATCTTTCGTTTATTACTTTCATTACTACAGGTTATTTCATCGTAATACAATTTACGTAAACTTTCATCAATTATTTCTTCAACATCAGGTTTTTTATCATTTTCATTTTTATCAATCTAAATTAAATAATTAATGTCAAAAATTGACAAAACTTTTATTATTATTATTCTTCTTTTTTTAAAAAAAAGATAGTTACCTCATTTATCCACTTAATATAATCCCGCTTTACATTTTTCCACTTAATCTCGCAACGGTACGAGGTATATTTATCGCTTTCCTCGCAAAACGCTTTAGAAGCACCTTCCCAAAGCCTTTGTTTCGTGCCATCACCATTCCTTTTATCCAATTTTCTAACTTCATCTATATATTTTTTCAAATAAAGCAATAAACGTTCAAGTTTTTTATCGCTCCATTTAAAAGGTGGAGATTTACCAGATGAATTTTTTTTTATTATAATGTCGCTGTTTAACCCTATTAAAAAATTTAACAAAATTCAATTAATTTAATTATGACAAATTGGCCTTAACATATCGTAATTCTTTGCTGATAAAATAAAATCACTTGCTAATAACCTTTTTTGTGATTATAACCACTTGAAGTAGAAGCTGGATGATACGATTTAATTTGAAGTGGTGAGTGGATAACTATTATAATAAAAAAAAAAATTTATTTAGCATTCACTCAAAATGTTTGATTTAAGTATATTCGATTACGCAACCAACCTCGATTATCCAATGGTAAGTAAACGTTCGATACTAAAAAATAATGAGTTACTTAGCATTCATAGACTTACTAATATTTCTTAAATTTTTTTGAAAATGATAAAATACCTTGATTAGAATTATCAATATAATTTTTACTTGACGAGATAGATAATGTTCCAACAGTTTCAACAACTGCGTCGAATAATTTTTCGTCAGAGAATTCTGTTGTCCCTTTATCATTAGTTTCAATAGTTTCAAAAACTACGTCGCCTAATAAAATTCCGTTAAAGAATTCTGGATACGAGGTCGATAAATTACAATTTTGATTGTTTAAAAGTTGCATGTTTAACTTATCATGATTTGGGCGAGGAGGTTATATTTTATTTATATAGTCATCAGTAATCATCTTCCAATTCAGGAAATCAATCTTAATCCAACTCAACTTGTTATTTGAAGGAATGTTAAACAAACGTTCAACACAAATGACAAATTAATTAGTTGGATTCGATTGTATTTACCTTTATTGAGTTTATCTATGATTAATGAAGGAAAATTAATCCACTTGTTTTCATTAGGAATGTTAAACAAACGTCCAAGTTTATTCTAGTGAACATTAAATAGTTGGATTGGATTGAGCTTCCCTTAATTGATTTATCTGTGATTACTGATCTGGATTCTAATTCGGGAAAATTAATCAATTTATATTTGACAAAATGTCCAAATCTATTCGATTGGATCGAATTTACCTTATTTAACAAATTGGTGTATACATGTGATTAATTGGATTTGTGTATATTTTGCCGTTGTAACACACAATTTTCTAAAAATTCAACCACACGTGACCGGTGATATTTAATGGATGTGAAAAAAATAATTTTGGGGGGCAAAAAAAAAACTAAGTCCCTCAGATAAATACAAACAGTGAAAACGCGGTAGGTGTGATGCCGGTAATGAATATTTTAGGTCACGTGAGCAGAAAATTTATTTGTGTATAGTATACCCATGTGCTACAAATTTGTAATTATATAGTGTGAGAAAGATGAAAAATCGTCTAACCAAATAAATAAACATTATGTAATAACTGTTTTTTATTTTTTTGTTTAATTTGCGTTTAATGCCCTTTGAAATAAAAAAAAAAAAAAAAAAAAAAAAATATTAACATTCATATCATAAAAAATTCCAGTTGATATTATTCCAAACTTATTCCAATATCTTATTGCCAACATTATTACTACGGTACAATATCAACGAATTCAGCTGAACCATCTCATATAAAGTTAAACTTGTCGACGATCAATCCAATCCCAACATCTGTTTTAGTGCAGATTCTTTAAGCATCATTTATTAAATTGAATCACATAATATCCAATAATCATTTGTTAATGACTTTCTTCAATATAATTTACGGTACTTTTATATTTCCTTATTTGTTATCTGTTGGATTAGATTCTTTGGCGCAAGAAATATAAATATTTTTATAATGTGCTATCCCCTATTTCTTATATGAAATTTAAATAAAAATATTTTTTTTCTTTTTTTTTCTTTTTTTTTAACTAAAACTTGATTAAAATACTATCTTCCAAAAAATTAAATTTTACTTCTAAAATGCGAGTCTTTACCTTCGATAGCACTGATCCTTTTGACTTGGATAAATGCTATCATTATGTTCTCGAAGAAAGCAAATTATTAGAGTTTTTTGGTCTTTTTTTAGTTGATAATAACAAAGGTATTTACTATCATTTTCTGAAAGAAGGGAAATAAATGATAAAAATACATCTTGCAAACGTTGCCTGTAAAAGCCACCAGATTCTCGAAAACTCTTAAAGCTATTCTGTTTTTACGGTGATTGCTTAATTAAATGTTTATACTATTTTAATTTTTTTTTTCTTCAGTTCTTTCTCGTAAAAAGGTTACATCCGATATTATTAAACAAGTTGTAAATGAAAATAAAGAATATAAAGCAACTGAATTGGTTGAAATCTTTATCGAAATTTGCAGATTAACTGATCGGTTAATTTATAGTAAAACTGACTTCAAAAAGAAAGGTATGTATTCTTTTTTTAAAAAAAAAAAAATTGTAACGCCGTCAAATCTCCGCGATCGAATTACGTACGTTCATTTTCTAAATTTAGAACCGCGTACTTGGAACCAAGAAGCTACTGAGGAATTTAAATTTCTTTTGAAAATATTTGAAAAATATGTTAATCAACTGAAAAATAAACATCAGAAAATCAAATCAGCTCTCTGGCAATGCATATCTTTCATTTTATTTGAAAAAAACTACATTTATTCGCCAGTTCAATGCTTAACCAAATATAAAAACATTCAGGTAAAGATAACATTAGTCATTTTTATTGTTTTTTTTAAAAAAAAGAAGAAGCATTATTGATAAATTCAATTGCTAAATTTAGAAAACTGAAGGCACAAACCCTAATGAGGTTGATACGTCTCCTGATTCAGAGGATGAAGATGAAGAGGATCCTCCGAACCAATTTCCGATTCCGAACCTCATTCCGAACCTCATTCCGAACCAATTTCCGAACCAATTTCCGAACCAATTTCCGATTCCGAACCTCATTCCGAACCTCATTCAGAACCAATTTCCGAACCAATTTCCGAACCAATTTCCGATTCCGAACCGATTTCCGAACCAATATGAATATCTGAATCAAGCTTGTCCGAATCGAGAATGGATTTTCATAAATGAAAACATTTCAAAATAAGAATGAAAATTGTATATTATAAACTCGGAATATTTGTTAAGCGCCGGCGCACAAAAATGTAAAAATTTAAAAATCAGACAGAAAGGAAAAAAAAATGAAAAAAATGAAAAAATTATGTAGGGTAAAAAAGGGGGGTATTTATATATAATATTTTCTGAGAGGAATGTATTATTATGTATTAATAAACATATTGTTTGCTTTGGAAATATTCTTTATAAGTTAATTTAACAATGAATAATTTTGAAACAATCAAATTAGTAAATTTTTTCATTCATAACAAAATTTGCTGATCCATTAGCTTTTAAAACTAAAACTAGTACAAATGTGCTTCTATTTATAAATTGTCGACTACTTTCATAAAATAAGTGTTCAAAATGAGCATCAACCATTCCGTAGAAAAAATTTTTTCTTCAATGTTTTCAAAGCTTAACGACGACAAAAATTTTTTTTACCTTCTAATCTGACCGGGTATTATCTGTCAAGAAAAATTTCGAGCAAATAAAAAATTTTATTTATTATTCTTTTCTTAACTATTAACTAGCATGTTACAAAAGTAATTAAATTTTATCATGTACAGCAAAATAAATAATCATGCACGTAATTAAAAACACTATATACGAACAAATAATTTTACAATGATATGTAATTTCTACACAAACAAACGTTTGTTTTGTTATGTTATTTTTGAAAATAATCAAAAATTGATAATAATATTCTTTGTCTGAAATATTACTTAGTTTTTATTAATTGAAAAGGGTAACAAAAACGAAATGTGTTATTCGTCAATAAAGGCATAATTAGGTAAGATCCACATTATTGACATTGAAAGAGTGTTTTGGAGCCTCAGGTCAGTCTTTGTGGACAGAATACTACAGAAGCATTTATTCTCTAGAGGATTACAGTTTTTATTTATTTATTTAATAAAAATTAACGTCCTTTATCGTCGTTTACTATTTAATAATTTTTTACTAAACGTTTACTTCAATAAGGAAAATAGTCAAAATTAGATCGATATACCGATATTCGATATACCGATATACTATTGAAAAATTGACATACCGATAAAATTTTATTTTCCCACTATATGTGAGGAGATATAAAACTTTGATATAACGATATTTCCTAAAATTTCATATATGTCCCGACATATTGTTATATAAAGGTTTGACTGTAATAGAAAGTCTAGAAGAAACTAATTTAAGACCAATAAAAAGTTACTCGGCATTACCTTATAATTTGTAATTACGGCAATATTCAAAATAAACCGGACACTTGAAAATTTTTGCCGAGAACTTGTTGGGTGTCGGGTTGTCAGGTCCAATCATTTTACATAATAATCACGTGATATTGTCTACTTTATGAAATTGATTGGATGGCCAGAAACCCGGCAAGCCGACAACCTGGCAGATTCTCGGCAACAAAATTTTCAAGTGTCCCGTTTATTTTGAATATTTCTGTAATCATTCCTTTTAAAAAAGTCTAAGATATAATAGTGAGCGTAGCATTAAATGGAAGAATTAGAAATAAATTTCTAGCACGAGCATGCATTATCGATAATTCTTACTGGCATTTGATATAAGTTACGGGAACACTCGAAATTTTTGTCTCTTGCCGAAAGTATTTCGGTAAAACTTGGTGAAGTTATAATAAAATAAAAACCATACCACTGTATTCGGATTAGAGGTATGATACCGAGCGAAACCGAAATTTGATAAAACCGAAATAGTTTAGACATTTAAAATTAAAAAACAAAATGCCGAAATTCAATATTCCATAATATTTCCATGGATTTTAATTATAATTTTTTTTTAAAAAAAATTATACTCAAGAGAGCAGTATGAGTTTATTAAAAGAACCAATAAGTATCTTTACAAATAAATCTAATACCCTACCCTACGCTGTGCAATGTAAAATATGCTCCATGGCTCCATGAGTAAGATTTTTAATTGTAATAATTACTTATAAAATTATTATACATAAATTTATATTAAAATATAGTATTTTTTAAAAAAATTGATAAGACTTATTTATGATAAATAAACCTATAACTAAAATTAAAATTAAAAATTATTACTATATGGTTTAGTCAATGACGAAACTGAAATTTTTGGCAAAAAAAGAGTTTAGCCAAGTATCACTAAATTTAGAGGTCTGCAATCTGCATTGACCCCTATTTTACGGCCCGACCGGCCCGGACCCTTATATGTAAAACTTAATTTTGCCCAGTTCAATTTCGGCCAGAATTAAGGCGATTTTGGCCAGAATTACGAAAATCCGGGTTTAACAAAAAATCATGTGCCGGCTCAGACGGCTTGGGTGAAAAAACCCGGGTCCGTTTGCAGGCCTCTAACTCGGATCCCGTAACCCATAAAACCAAAAAACAGTTGTAAATGCTCCAAAGGAGTCGATCAAGTCAAGTTAGAAACTTCGATTCAAGTATGAAGGATCTCCGAGAATAAATATGTGAAGGTGTGTCGTATGTTGATAGTTTCTATACATATACAAATTTTACGCACGCTCTCCTAATTTGTCGTATTTAGAAAATTATGGCCTCTTGTTTATAACATCTTATTTTTATTCCATTTCCTGGTAAATAATGTTATGTAAGACTTTTTTTTAAACAAAGAATATTGTAGCAAATGATACTTTAAGTAGCGTTAAGAAATTAGCATAGGTATGATATTAATCTTTTTATATACAAAATTACAAAATTACATGGTATTTTGGCTGGATGATTATTATTAATATTAAATAACAGAAAAAAAAAATTTTTTTTTTTTAGTAACGAAAATGTTCCAATTGAAATTTTTATGGAATTAATATATATATTTATTTGTTCATTAAATTTAATAAAAAAAATAAAAATAAAAATAAAAGAACGTATTACTAACTAATTACCTGAAGTATTAATTAAAAACTATATCTAAATTATTTTTTTTTAAAAAAAAACATATAGCATATATGAATAATGATGGCTATTTATAGATTATATAGAAAACATGTAGCGTACGGTGAGCTATGTATGTACGTATAGTGGTACAGTATACATCACCCCACCCTACAGTATGGTAAAAATGACCATACATACCGTATGTTGATCACTATACAGACATACATAGGCCTCTACACATGACATGTTTCCGTACCCCTATTGATAGTTTTATACGTGTCGTCAGAATTACCGAAATATTAATTCGGCATTTTGAATATACCATATTATTCATTTACAATGCCATAAATTGTAAATCTATAATGATATATTGATTTTTGATAAATATTTAAATGGGTTTCTTTTTTTGTATCGCATAATCTTAACGGCATTACGGACTAGGCGCATGTGTCAGGTTGACGGCGCAGTGTGGCGCAGCGATTTTTCCAAAAAAAAAATTAAATTGCAATTTTTTTTATTAAAAATAAACCTTTAAATTCCTGCACTAGATGTATTTTCGTCCGCTCTGCAAATTTACTTAGAGAATATATAGGTGGTTTAGAAGGCCATTTTCGAGTTATTTAACAAAAACTGTTTTTTCGACAAATCCAATTTTGGAAATGATTGGCAAAGACGATAAAATCGGTTGTTATATACTAAAGTCAAAATCTATTTCCAAAACCTCCTTCCATTTATAAGTGAATTTTGTAAAACAGATGAGAATACATCTAATGTGTAAATTTGAAAGCTTTACATTAAAAAGAAAATCTTTTAACTTAAAATTTTTTTGAAATTACTGCACCACACTGCGCCGTCAACCTGACACACATTTCAGATGTGCAGGGATGGCCAGAAATGACGTAATTTAAATATTAGGATTTTTAACCCCCTGTCATCATCCATTTTAGGAAATGCAGAATAAAACATAATTCTGGCCAGAATTATATTAACTACAAGTGTCTAAAAATGGAAAATGTGCAACATCATCACTTAGGCAAAATTATGTATGACAAACATAGACCATCACAGTATATGAAAATTATTAAGAAAATTTAATTCAAGATAAAAAAAAAAATTTTTTAGAATTGAGTAACTGAAGTGATCAATATTCTTTTTTTTATGATTTAAATACATCAGACTATACCCACAAATAATTAATTTCCGCTGTGACATACACATATTTAGATTAAAAAAAATTAAACGCATTATAATGATCTCAGCCAGGATTAGTTTGACCTATCAATACTTGGACTGAGCATTAACTCGTTGTTTTTAACTCGATTAAATTCACCAGATATATAGGTTGTAATAGAATAAAATGTCATATATGTGTTGTACTTAAGTGCGCATTATTTACGTCAAAATCATATGAAAGTACGCAAGAAGAATTCCTCTTGGCCTTAAAATCTGCATCCTCATATTTTTCTACTTTATGGAAATTGAAAAAGATCATTCATTCCTTTTTCCTTCTCAGAATGAGGGTGGGGAAAACTTTCCTTTTCACTTTTTAAATTAAAATAATTGGTTGAAAAATTCAACCAAACATATTAGCGCTGATATTCATTATTAAATTTACGTTAATTTTAATATTACGCGAAATCTAAAATCAAATCAACGCGGATAATAACTAATATCGTGATAAATCTGAGCCGAAAATCTAAAATTATCTAATAAAATAGACAGAAAAATAATATTTCTACTCTCGGCAAATGTTTTTTTATTAAAAAATAGTTAATAAAAATAAAATATAAAATAGAATTTAGACAAAATAAAAATGTTTTAGAATCTTAATTTGCAATAGAGAATAAAAATTATGTAAAAATTAGCTAAAGAAAATTTTCCCAGATATTACGATTATATTGAGTTTGGATTCTAATCATCAATAATTATACATAACTGCGTGAATTTCTGATAATGGCTGATTAATGAATGGATTAATTATTTCCTCTTATATCTTTCCAAAACCTCTTGATGCCTATGTCTTCCAATATTCTTTTTATATCATACAAAAAGTTCTCTTTTTAGTTCATTAGGTATAAATTTCTAGAATATCTACGCTGAAATAAAACAGTCATTATTGTAAATTTGATCTGAAACAACTTGGTATGGTAGAAATTGGACAGTCACAACTGGTTGAACATATACATTTTGGTTATCATTACATGACAAGAAATTACTATTATCTATCATCGTTGAAGCTTGGGTCACGTCATTCACAATATTTCTATTTATATTACTATCATAATCTGGTTCCCTCTCAGAAACGTGATACTGTAAATGATCGAAGCTTTCTATACTATAGCGATCATCTTCAAGAATTTGATGCTGTTGAAAACCTTCTCCATTTTGGTGATTATTGAAATTCTCTTGGCTATCAATAATTGAGACTTCTATTGAATTCGTTTGATTTGAAATATTGTCGAAATCATGTTGTTGTGGATATTCCTCAACCTCGTTTGCGACATGGTCATTATGTGACGAGCTATTGTCAACATTATTTTGAATATCGGCCGTTGATTTTATTGTAACATAATGTCCATTTATATTTTTATCAGAATATTCTCTTTCAAGATTACTATGTTGCGGAATATAAAAGAAAAGTGTTTGTCTTAAGCTTTGTTCAAGGTTGAGTTTTTGAATTGGTGATAGATATCCTGGTTTTATGTCGTTTATGTCAGGATCAATTCCATTCAATAGTTTTACGACATAAGTATGTGATAATAACTTGCACTTAACATGATAGTTTGCTCTGATGTCTGAATAGTAAAAGAATTCATGATCATAATTATGGTGATCATCGAAAGAAGTGTCGTGTGAAATAATCTCACAATTTACATGATAAAAACTATCATCATCCGGTGTATGATGAAAGAATTTACATGAACTTAGTATTGGAACATCGTTCATACTTTGATACATTGGCGAAGGCATACTGTCTGAGTTGTTAAATCGAAAATTATTCATTTGATTACCAGTAAAGTTTATTAAGATATCTCTTTAAAAAATAGATAACTGTCTTTATAAAGGCTTATTTTGTTATGAAAAAGGAAAAAGATTGACGATACAATTCTAAAATACGGAATTAAAATATTTGTACACCTGCAAGAGTCACGTGGCGTCCAGACTATCCCGGAAGCGCAATTATTAAAAATTTTATTTAATTGGAAGACTTCTGATTTAGAACTTCCCAGAATTACATAGAATTGAAAGCATTTGTTAATTTCAAGTATTTAGAAAATTATTGAATATTTCAAATGTTCAAAATATTTCGAATATTTCGAATATTTCCAAGTTTTACGGCATTTGAATTTAATGGCTGTAAAGTTTTGGATTTGGATTTGGATTTAGCCAACTGAGATTGGATTATTCTCAATCTAAATCCAAATCTAAATCCAAATTCATTTCCTTTTTAGAACTAGTGTATTACTTAAACCCCTTAAATGCAGAGTTGTAAATATATAAACACTTTCCAAAATAGGCAGTGATGTTTTTTTTCCTTTATTACGTCTAAGGCTTAGTGGAGCTTACTATTTAGTTACACTATCATCTTTTTTGTTGTTATGCAAATAATAATATTTGCTGTTTAAAGAAATAAAAGAAATTAACGGCATGTTTTTTTTTTAGGTAGTGAGGATTGTGGATCGACATTGTGCTACATTACGATTTTGATACAATTCTTGTGCAAAAATTTAATTACATAAATATTACTATGGGATATCAAATTTTTTTTTTTTTTTTTTAGAGAAAGACCTTACTCGTTTAATATGAGAAATTGTAAATTCGAATCTTCGATTTTTAACAATCACCAAGAGATAAAATGTATAATTTAATTAACACTCTAAAACCCTTAATAATTAAAATTCATTTTTCCTATACATAATATATATATATAAAAGCAACTATCAATAAAATATAAAGCTTTATCATAATATTCCTTAAATAGTAAGATCGTGGTTACGTTATTAAATGGTTAATGCATTACTTTTGAAATCACGAGCGATATTAGAAATTTGTTTTCAACAATTTAAATATTCCAATCCCACGTTTTTATCAGAATATACGACTATAATAAATTTATTCGAAGAACAAAATCTAACTTCGATGATTAACACACAATATATCCTAACCAAGAAGTTTCAAATGACAAAATGACAAGTGACACATTTCAAAATATCAACCAATTAAATCAAATCAAATGACTAAAGTGACTGGAAATAGATTTAATTTTTTGATTCCAATTACACAAGGAGACGTGTTCTTTTTACAAGTTATATTTCATTGACTATTTCTGTAAGAAGAGATAAATGCGCTGATCATATTTGAAGTACTATCCGACATACCTCGACCGATCTAGACCTTTCTTTTGGATGTGTACTGTAGATCGTTGGCCAATATGTATTAATTTTTTAGATATGTTTATTTGATTTTTTAGTAAGGGTTGACTATTTGTTAGTGGGTTATATTTTCTGTTATCATATTTTTTTACGAACACGGAACATATTCGTAGGTAACTTTTTCCCTATTTTTTTTTTTCAACTTTTAAAAACTTACCATAATACGGAAATGATCAGCAATGAGAATTTTAGAAGTAAATTATCATTATACGATAAAATAGTGATAATTCTAACCGTGGTAATTCTTCGATCCTTTTGTCACCGTTCTCAAAATATCTGATATTGAAGTGTATTCATAAAAAATTTATATTTACCACGCTGTAACAGGTAAATCGTAAATGCGATAAACTAAATATAGTCTTACGAATCTTTACGTCGTAGTGACCCTAATGATATAACTGGATATTAATACATAATTTTCATTAAAAATTTTTTTAATTATTGAATTAATTAAACCTTTTAATGAGAATAAGATATAAAATGTAATAAGTAATTAAAGCGATAAAGAATCTGATAATACGTGTAGAAAAGTGCCTCCGATATACTACGCACATTGAAATTCTTGAGAACAACATCCGAGTAAAGTGGAAGAATATTAATTTTTTTTTATGAAAAATAAAGAAATTAAGAATATTATTTAATTTCATGTATATTTAGTGCTTCTGACAACAAAAAATGGTAATATCTGGGAAGTTTGTACGATAAAAGTATTTCCATAACAAGTATAATTCTCAATATAAAAGGTAAATTAATTGTCATATGATTTTTTTGAATCACCATGCGTTCAAATTTTGTTTACGGAAAATAATTCAAGTTATAAGTCCGATAATATGAATTTTTTCTGATGATACTGATAAAGATAAAAGAAAAAAAAGTATAATTAAAATATCGGTTATAAAGTTAATTATGATTATAAATGAGTCAGAATTTGTAATAAATAAATCGATTTTTTCGTAAGGAATTTCTATAAGTATATATATAAATCAATAGAACTAATAATACTTTGAATTTCGAACGTTTATGTTACAGCGCTTGTGTGATAAATTTGGCTGAATTTATCATTACTTATTTCTTTAATGGTAATATTTTATTATTGAATAATTACTAAATTTTTTTTTATATCCATTAATGCAAGCTAAATCGATTGTGATCGGATTGCGATTGGAATTGAATTAGAATTGGATATTAAAGTAGATCTTTTCCGATATAACATTATCTGGCTATAAATTCTAATTAGTTATAATTATAATAAATCAAATTGTATTACATTATTCATTATATAATAACCTATTTTTTACATTTCGAAAAAAAACTGTTTTTTGAGAATATTTCGTGATACTATGAGCGAAAATAGTTCTTACGATAAATTAATAAATAATAATGAACCGGTTAGATTCTTCTACGAACTGAGAAATGCAGTTTATTTTATTGAGTGCCAGGAATCCAGACCTGGAGTTAATGAATATAGTGATAAGAACGATCCATTAAATTTTATATTTCCTTGCGAACATTTAAATACTAAGAAAAAATATCGATTATCTTGTAAAAAGCTTTCAACTACTTTTGTTACGCAAGCCTTAAATAATATAATTTTTAATATTAATCTAAATCCGATTGAACAACAAAAACGAGAATTTTCTGAAAATGACAAAAATTGTCTTGAATCTCATTTAAAGAATGATTTACCTAAATGTTTAACAAATTATAAACCAAATGATTTTATGTATCGTGCATTTTTTGAATTATATACTTCTTATGAAAGTACGATAAGACAAAATAATGATTATAATAATTCTAATTGCCAAGGTATTATTTTTTCTCAATATTAATATCGTTTTCGATTATAATTTTTCGCTGAATATATCATTAGATAATCTAATTATGTGTGAACATCATCTAACTTGAGCAAAAATAATTGAACTTTTCCGCTATGCTAGTAACTTTGCCATCAAATAGCCAATCTTATGGGTATGTCGCAGCTAAAGAAATAGTTGATGAAACATTCAATCGTCTTCTACAAGAAAGTCCAAGTTTTTTGCAGTATTATCAAAATAATGGTAGGTTATAATAATATATCATGTTTGTAAATAGTAATAATTTCAAACAAACTTATGTTTCTTTGTTTTTGATTATCATATTTCTTTATAAATATATATTATAATATATTTGTCTTTTTTTTTGTTACCGTTACTCTTTTGAATACTATAGGATTACTCGATACATGTCGTACTGAGGAAAGTCAATTGTTGGCCAGTGTTAACGAAATAGGTAATATCCATCAACATTACGATGATTATAATAAAGGTATTGTTCTCGATTCTTTGTCATTCATAAATGTTGGATACCATGGAGTAAATTTGAAATTCAAAACTCAGTCACGCTATAAACCGAAATACTTTTAAGAGCTAAATTTCTATCGTGATAAACATAACGAAGTTTTTAATCACCAACTAATGAACAAAATGATTAAATAATAATGCACAATTTAATTTTTTTTTCATTAATTTAATAAATAACTCAAGCTTCCGATAAAAATAATGATGAAACCTTGACAGAAAAAAGTCCGCCGAGCGAAAGAACTGCTGGATCGTCTACTGAAAGTGAAAGTTCGGCGGGGGAGACAAAATCACGCCCATGTAATTGGAGCGAAGGTGCGACCAAATGCTTCTCGTCCTGTTTGAAAAAACGAAGTAAATCACTAAAGAAACATGGTGGTATTAAATGGACTGAAGTCTCTGATGAGTTAAATAGTTACGGTTTTACATTTTCACCCCAAAAGTGTTCTAATAAGTGGAAAAATATGAAACAAAATAAGAAGTACAAATTGCAGGTTAATGAAATTCTTGGTACAAAAAAGAAAAGTAAAATTAAAAAAGAAGCAAATTAATATATTAATCCAGTAGTTCAAAGAAAGCTTAATACCTTAATATTTTACTTCGTTTTTGTTATTATATTATTATATTTATTACTCAGATGTGTTGTTCTGTGATTTGGATTCGTCATATTAATCTCTTAATATACACGATCATGACCTATCCAAAAGTTTACGAAGTCCGATAGAGTTTAATATAGGATTGAACATGGAATTTATAAAACTCAGAAATAAAATTTTTATTTATGAAATATTGAGCGTATTTATATATTCATTTAATATTCTCGTAGATTCGTACATGCCATTCTTAATAAAAAAAAACGAGCATTGAAATAAGCCAAATTTAGTTAAAATTTCTTTCACATTGAGCGAAATACAAAAATAGATTAATTGTGCCACTTAATACAGTGAATTTTTAATTTTTGAAAGACGATGAAAATCCATGTCCAAATTGAATGACCATTTTTAATGCTATACAGAATATGTGTAACTTTTGTGAATAAATTACGCATTAATATTATCATCATTATATTTATACCATAAAAAGTAAATGTCGTAACGTTTAACTTATACTGTATATCTTTTTTTTTAAAAAAAAAAAAAATATTTTTGTATGATGTATGTGCAGGTAAAATTTTTAAATAAAAAATTTTTTTATTAATAACTTCATATGTTTATATGCCTTCACTCACATTTTAAACAAATCATTATATAAATTTATAA